ACCCTCGAGTCAACCTTCGATACGGAGTACCCTTCTATGCGAAATCGCCAAATAATATGGATGCCGAGCATGGCCAATGCGGCAGGGACCCAAGCGATAAAGGGACCGAAGTTACTGAGACGTGCAGCGCTGGCGCCGGGAGTCTGGTCCTCGAGTTCTCTGTTCTCAGTCGACTGACTGGCGATCCCAAATACGAAAGGCTGGCCAAAGACGCTTTCTGGGCTGTGTGGCACCGTAGAAGTAGCATCGGGCTTATTGGTGCCGGTATCGACGCTGAGACAGGGCAGTGGGTAAATTCTTACACGGGTATTGGAGCAGGCATTGACAGCTTCTTTGAGTATGCCCTCAAGTCGCATATTCTTCTTTCCGGACTACCTTTCGACAAAACACGCGAGACTACGGATTCTCCGGAGGCGTTTCTTGCTACTTGGCTCGACGCTCACGATGGCATTCGGAGACAGATCTACCGGGGTGCGCAACATCAACATCCTCATTATGCCCAAGTTGATTTGTACACTGGCGCCATCAGGGCCTTTTGGGTCGACAGCCTGAGCGCATTCTACCAAGGGCTCCTGACCATGGCCGGCAAGCTTGATGAGGCTATCGAGACGCATCTGCTCTACACTGCTCTTTGGACCCGCTATTCCGCAATGCCTGAGAGATGGTCAACTGCGACTGGCAGTATTGAGCATGGCCTTCGCTGGTGGGGCGGTCGACCAGAGTGGATTGAATCGACCTGGTACCTCTATCAGGCGACAAAAGACCCTTGGTATCTCCATGTAGGCGAAATGGCGTTGCGCGACATCAAAAGACGTTGCTGGACTAAGTGCGGGTGGGCCGGTCTGCAGGATGTACGTACTGGAGAACTGAACGATCGCATGGAGAGTTTCTTCCTTGGTGAAACTGCGAAATACCTTTTTCTGCTTTTCGACCCGTCGCATCCGCTCAATACCTGGGACGCACCGTTTGTGTTCACGACCGAAGGGCACCCGTTGGTCATTCCGAAGAGACTTCGTCCCACTCAGAAGACGCGGCCAGATCCTGATCCAATCCTAGAGGTACCTCAGACATGCCCTCTTCCACCAGCCCTCTTGCCTTTCAGTATCTCTCCGACAGCCGCTCGGACCGACGTTTGGCATGCTGCAAGCCTTGCCAGACTACATCTTATGCCAACCATCGAGACGCTTGAGTCACCACTCGTCGAGTTCAGTGCCGACCATCCCAGCATTTCTTTATCAGACATACGTTCGCCTTCCAACTACACTTACTATCCATGGACTTTGCCACCCGAGCTCATCCCGCACAACGCTACAAGTTCAGTGCTGGCTGTCAGGACTACCTTTGACCTTTCGTTCCCCAACATGCCAAGCACATCGCTGACAGGTGCGCTCCAAAGAGTGCAGGAAGGCATCTTGGTCAACTCCATGAGTGGGCTGAGGCTTGGCATGGTTCGTGAGCAAGACAAGCCACGAACGATACGACAGCAGCTGGACTTGGATGAGCAATTCCGCATCTATGCGATCTCCAACATAGCCCTGGGCCGTGATGAGAAGGTCTTCATGTCTCGTTCGACCATCGACAACTTCAATCCGCTTGACCCGTTCTTCACAAGAACACGAGATTCGCATGCGTTAGACCTGGTCATCGATGTACCGCCGCAGCCTGCACCTGCATCCTCCAAAACGCTGGCAGATCTCCTCAGCGATGCGCTCGGTGAGACGAGCAACCTATCCGACATGGACATCGCCGATGTCATCGATCTAGAAGTAGACCCCGAAGCACTCGATAGCCAGCCGTCATACCTGGCCACCTTCCTCTCATCGCTCCAAGCCCTCCTCTCCGCCCCACTACCCACATCCACATCCGCAGCATCTCAATCCCAGGATCAATCTGAGCAAACATTGAAACGCCACTTCTTCCCCGCGGCGCTTCCCACCGGCCCCGGCGCAGCACCCATGCCCGACACTAAAGACCCAGAAATAACATACAGCCCAGACAACCCACTCACCTGGTCAAATATCTACGTCCACCCCACAACTCTCTGCACAGACCGTCTTCCGCTCGAGGTCGCAAAGAATCATCAGATCATCGCGGTCCCTAGAGGCGATTGCTCCTTTTCGACTAAGCTGCACAACATCCCCGCTTACCCACCCGACGCCTCTTCCCTCCAACTCGTCATCATTGTCAGTTTTCCTGAACACGAACCCAACGAGAATAGGTATACTGCCGATACCGACGCTGCGACGCAGCAACCCCCTGTGCAGCCGCTGCTGGATGATGTGCAATACACTCCAACGGGAATATTGAGACCAAACCCCATTCCTATGATCATGGTGGGAGGAGGGGAGGAGACCATGGCGTTGTTGAGGAGGGCAACTGGGGTTGGTGTGAGACGGAGGTATTACTTTAGGAGTCAGGGGGTTAAGATTGGGAATTTGATCGTGCTTTGAGGGGGTAAAGACGAGTGCGCAGTAATGGGCGCTGTTAGTTGAGATGTCGAAGTACTAAGGCTTTTGTAAATAGAGTGTAGAGAACGAATGTGTATAATTGCGCCTTGTCATCGTGGGTCTTTTCTGCGGATGCTTGGCATGCTTGTAATCATGTATGGCTTAGTGCTTACGGAAGGAGCTGACCAAAACGAAGGTTCGCTTGCAGCTTCGTCTTCATACATCTTACTCTAGACTTACAGCTTTTCTATGCGGGAACTCTGCGCAGATGTTACTAGATTGTTACTAGAAAAGAAGTGGTTCATCAGCCGTCTCTGTTGTGCAGTAAGAACAGGCCACCAGCCAAACGACCACGACCTACTTTCCTGAAGCCTAGATTCCCACACGCCGATGCCATGGCTTCCCACCTCGAGCGATGTCCTCGGTGTGCAAGAGCATGGAAACATCAACAAAAAGAGTCCGGACGGATCACATATTCTCCGTCTCTGGGGCAGAAGCCAAGAAGAAATCGTCACTGGATTTATCCAGGGTGGGTGGGGGAGGCGGAGGGGAGGCGGAGGGGAGGTGTTGGATGTCTCGCTCATCGACTACGCGTACTGTGCTCTCTAATACTTGGGCTTGGTGCTTTAAAGTTTCTTCACTTGGCTATCGTCATACCTGGGCAACATCTGGAGTGAAAGCCAGGAAGAAACAATCCCCCAACTCGTCAGGGTGGGTGGGGGAGGCGGAGGGGAGGCGGGGAGGTGGTGGATGTCTCGCTCATCGACTATGCATACTGTGGTCTCTAATACGTGATAAGGGTATACCTAGACGCCGCCCTCTAAGGTGAAAGCCAGGAAGAAACTATCACTGGATTCATCGCACCGAAAGGCTATCATGTGCTTGGACACGCGTCTGACCTAGAGACGTCGCGTAATGTTTCCGAGTTCTTACAAAGCAACATATTTGGACAGGACGAAAGATGAAGACGTTATACAGATGCTCGTACGGAAGGCTAAGAGCAATACGCGGTCTTCAGCACGGACCGAGGGAGGATTGGAAAATGTGTTAACGATATAAGGCAAGGAGATGAGACATGGACTTTTGAGGGATCAGTAATCGCGTTTGTGCTTAGACCCTTGGCTGGATCTGGAGTCAAGGAGGATGCTGTGAGGGATACGTATAGATTGGTTGGTGCGTGTGAGTTTTTGGGTGAAGTCGAGAATACATGGGGTCTACCGGAGCGGGCGAAGAGGATGATTGAACTTGTATAGGAGACGGCATCGTTCGCAAAGCCCACAACCAAAGTTATGCGAAGAGACTCATCAGGCTCGAGCTTGAGAGATGGAAGGGCGGACGACTCGTGCCGTTTTCGCCGACCACTGAAGACACGCGCACATGTCGCGTGGGGTGCGCCGGGGCAGTCGAGGCAGACAGCGTTGAGACGTCCTGAGATAAGGATGGCGCAACTCTGAACTACATCTGTTGCGCAGAATCGCGGCGTGTCTTGTTTCCTCCTCATTCGTCGCGACCGAGAATCGATGAAAGTCCTGAGTCGTTCTTATCGTGGAGATAAGGGGCCCTACACTAAAATAGCTCGCTTGGCATGCTTCATCTCGTGCTTACTTCCTCCAACCACAACTCCTCAGCTGCATTTCGCCATCTCGAGAAGGCTCCCGCAATTCCCTGCGTCTACGTCGCAGCCACATGCGCCGTTATGTTGCACGCTCGATCGCCTCTGGGCAGCGATCGTAATTCCACGGAGCGGGCCTCGAAAGCCACAACACGGACCCGCTACAGCGAAAGAGGCAGGCGACCAATGCGCCCAGCCTGACTATCTTTTCCACTACAGCTGCGGCTACACCGAAGTGTCTAATTAGTCCTTTCGTCATGCGCCTATCCGGAGTCAGAGGACCTCTCTGCGAGACAAGTCTGCTGCCGGTACATTCTCGTGTTCGTTGGCAGTCTGCAATAGCCGCTTCCTACGGGTTCCTGCAGGCAAAACAAAAGTAGCGACGCGTATTCCCTTCCTCCTCACGGGCAAGGCGACGGCACGCTACTTCAGGGGCTCCGCCGCCGTTGTCGTCCGATACCGCAAAGGTACTTTTGCCTTCTCCATGTGAACGCATGAAACATTTGTGATCTCCCGGCCCATGGCTCTATCCGGAAGGTCAGGATCGTCGCCTCGGGCACACAATGCACGATATAATGCCCAGACCAATATAACAGGGCCTCCGAAGCTTGCCTGCCTATTTCACAGTGTCGCCAAGCCTCCGCTCTGCTGTCTCCTACCATCGCGCCGGTCGACTACGCGTGCAGCCAGTCCGAGAAAGGCAGCCGGTGATCGTTCCCTTGTCGCGTGGACGGCCTACTAATCGTACGCGCCTGGTGTTGCATCAACCATTCGCTCCGTATTCTCAAAAGGGTCAGGACCGAGTGTGGAGAGTCGTTCGGGGGGTAGATGTGGCGAGGCAGCTGTTCATGTATAAGAGGAGTGGTATACTGTTTCAAAGCGTTACTTTTGAGCACATCACTTGTCCTTAGTCTCTCATTTCTACTTCACTCGTTCCCACGATGCGTTCCGTACTTCTCGCGTCGCTGGCATCGCTGTCTGCCATCAGCGTCTATGGCCACCCCCACGCTTCATGGCAAGGCCGCAGCACACTTACTCGCCGCGCTGTCGACTTGGACTCGTACCGCATGAAGCACGCTGCTGCCTACAAGAACGTTGCCGAAGTTGTGGCTGATCCTAACATCAACACACTTGCGAAGCGTGCCAGTGCGGAGGACGTTGCTACCGACCTGGTCAAGGCTACGATCCCAGATGCTACCTTCCGTCTTGTTAAGGACTCGTACGTTGGCGACAACGGAGTAGCCCACTTCTACTTCAAGCAAACCGCCAACGGTCTTGACATCGATACCGCGGATTTCAACGTCAACGTAAGTCAATAGCATCTAGAAAAACGTATACTCTCTATGTTAGATACCGTGCTAATACCACACAGGTCGGTCGTGATGGCAATGTTTTCTCTTTCGGAAACTCGTTCTACAAGGGTGCTATCCCAGCGCCGCCAAGTCTGAGCAAACGTGACAACGCCGCGCCCGCCAATGCTCTCAAGTCGGCTATCAACGTTCTTGGACTTCCCGTTTCTGCTGAAGAAGCTATCGCTGAGGCGAAGGAGGCTACTGAGACCTACGCTATCAAGAAGACTACCGGATGTGTCAGCGAGCCCGAAGCGCGCCTGGTCTACCTCGTAGATGAGGAGGGCAAGCTCGCTCTTACCTGGAGAATTGAGACTGATGTCATGAGCAACTGGCTGCTTTCTTACGTCGATGCGGAAGATGGCGAGAAGGTGCACGCCGTTGTTGACTACTCTGCCGATGCTGAGTACAAGGTTTAGTGAGTAGCCATGACTACTAGATATGTCCATCGCTAACAACTCTCAGCCCCTGGGGTATCAACGACCCATTTGAGGGTGACCGCAAGCTTGTAGAGGATGACTTCTCTCCCGCTGCCAGTGAATTCGGTTACCATAACGATGGCAAGCAGACTTTCAAGACGACCCGTGGAAACAACGGTATCGCCCACACCAACTGGGAGAACGTTAACAGCGGATTTCTGAACCTTCCCCGTCCCCAGAGCGAGGATCTCGTCTTCGACTACCCGTTCTCTCTCAACGACACCGACTGGATGGGATATGCCAACGCCTCCATTACTCAGCTCTTCTACACCGCCAACAAGTACCACGATGTTCTGCACACCCTGGGTTTCAACGAAAAGGCCGGAAACTTCGAGATCAACAACAACGGTGCAGGTGGTGCCGGTCAAGATTTCGTCTACCTGAACGCTCAAGATGGTTCTGGCAAGAACAACGCCAACTTCGCCACACCTCCTGACGGCCAACCAGCACGCATGCGCATGTACATCTGGAACACGACCACTCCCTACCGCGACAGCAGCTTCGACGCGGGAGTCGTCATTCACGAGTACACCCACGGCCTCTCCAACCGTCTCACCGGTGGCCCCTTGAACGCCGGTTGCCTTTCTCTGCTCGAATCCGGCGGCATGGGCGAAGGCTGGAGCGACTTCTACGCGACCGCCATCCGCCTCAAGGCCGGCGACACCCGCAAGACCGAATACCCCATGGGCGACTGGATCAGCGGACGTCCTCTCGGAATCAGGAACTACCTCTACTCCACCGACCTCAACAAGAACCCCCAGGTCTACTCCGACGCCGATCTCTACGAGAAGGTCCACCCCATCGGTAACATCTGGGCGTCTATGCTCTACGAGATCCTCTGGAACCTCATCGACAAGTACGGCAAGAACGACGACTGGCTCCCCAAGCTCGATAGCAAGGGTATCCCCAGTGATGGCAAGTACCTTGCCATGAAGATCGTCATGGACGGTATGGCGCTGCAGCCTTGCAACCCCACCTTTGTCTCTGCTCGCGATGCAATCGTTGATGCCGACAAGGCGCTCACCGGCGGTGAGAACGTTTGCGAGATCTGGAGTGGATTCGCGAAGCGTGGTCTTGGTGAGGGTGCAGTTTACGCCCCTACCGGCCGCACGAACAGTTTCGATATCCCCGAGGGTGTCTGCGGTGGTGGCAACTCGACGAAGGCGACGAAGATGAAGATGCATAAGAGGAGGGTTCAGCCTGTTGAGCTGAAGTACTAGACGCATGGGGTCTGAGCATGGAGTGGAGTTTTGCATGTGGCGATGTTGTTGACGAGTGTATGATGATACCTGCATTGGGCGGCGTTTTAGAGAGGCATAAACTGCTTCCTCTTTCTTTTAATGGATAATCTTATTCTTCGATTAATCTTGCTTCCTCTTTTGCTGTGATATCCCGCTCTTCTCGAACTGTTTCCGCCGCCCGTGCTACGTCCACCATGCATAGCAGCAGCACAACTTATACTTAGTTCAAACCGTATGTCGGTGCACATCCCACGCCACAGCCCAGCAACTCATCACGATTCACGTCGCAATGCACATCCCCACACATCCATAAACATCCCATTACCCTCGCCCCTCGTGCTCTCCTTTCTCAGCCCCAAACACCATCTTACACCCTGCAACCCGCATCCTTCCACCTCCTCGGTAACCGAACCCCCCGGACCCAGCTATTTCAAGTACCCATACACACCTTGTCATACGCGCGGTAAAGCCATGTGCCCGTCCCCCATGCCAGCGCATCGTATCACAAAAGTAGAAAGGTGCTACTATATGCTACGCGAACGTGGGGGCTGTGTTCGGGAATAAAGCGTTAATGACCATGAATGGACATGGATGGGCGTCTAGAAAGACTTTTAATCGCCGAATAACCACAGGAATGGGAACGGGAAGTTTCGTATGTCGGGTCTGGATATGCAGGACTTCTGAAAACGGTTCCGGGTTAGCCATGGTATATGGTCTTAGCGCGACTAGAGTGATCCACGGCTGGAGGAGTAAGTGTGTTCGTGATGCTTACGATGTTGCACAGGAATATCCGCTGAGCATGCATGACGGGCCTTCGATCTGTGCAATCCAGGGCACATGTGATGAAGTGGAGTGTGGAACTTAATGTATATGTTGAATTCGCTGTAAAAATGCAAACAATGCAATGAGGTAGAGCGGTGATGTCGTGCCTAAATGAGTATGATCCCATACTTCCCATCTAAGTAACATGCTTGTAGACTCATTTGACGGCCTTTGATGTCGCGTCATGCTCACTAGCATCATCATCCAAATCGTCGTCCCATTCGTCCCTCCTGACGCCACTCTGTTCAGCCACTGAAGTAGCACCAGGCGGTGGTGCATCGTCGTCGCTCTCATCCTCGAACGCGGCTGGGTCGGCGAGTGGCTGACTCTCTGGATCTACATTTCTTCTCTCTTCGGGGCTCGTCCTGTTTGGCGCACCTTCTACGCCTTCATCGGCAGAAACGGAAATGCCCCTCCGACCCCATTTGTTCTTTGGTTGTGTGGTATCGTTGCGCTGACCAGCGGTTTCCTCGTCGTAGTCGAAGTCCATGCTCTTCCTGCCCACGAACCGGCCAACGATCCATCCGCGACCCAGATCCTCTGAGTCTACTACGCCGCCGTGTCGGAGCTTCACGCGCTGGCGTGTGTAGTATACCCATGCGAAGTCGATCATGAGTGCCGTTTGTATGGAGCCCCATACCCACGATGTAGGATCGAGGTAGTCGTCTTCCTTGACGCCACGCATGATCCAGTTGAGAACATATAGGGCACGGTATGTACCCAGTGTGACTAGGTAGTAGGAGTCGATGACGGTGGGTACGGTGGTTTGACGGAGGAGGAGCAGTTGCGGGATGACGCAGACAGATTCGAGGATTTCGGAAAAGACCCAGAGAATCTATTATGTCAGTATCCAATCGTGCTTGGTAAGTGGTGTAGAGGTCTCACCTTCATGAAGGTGCTATGCCCGAGAACGTGATCCCTAAACATAAGGTACCAGAATGGGGTAATGAGGATGCTGCCTAGCAGACAGTACATGCCAAACTTCCATGCCTTCTCTCGCTCCCTTGTGCGCGCATATACACTTGTCATCAAGAAGATGATGTACAGCGATGATAGCGTGTAGAATATCTGACCGGTTAGCCGCGGACGCGTAGACGTATGCCAGGCCTCCGTACCTTCAGCGAGAAGTTCCACGTATGCCACCCATCTTTGGTGATGGAGGAACTGAAGATATCGAGATATCGCGTGCCGAAGACGAGCGCGTAGAGGACTTGGGTGATGAGGGATACACCTGCATATGTCAGCCTATGTTGCAAGCTTCAAGTGGTGATTAGATCCAACTCACCCTCAGCACTGCTGTTGGAGTGTATCGCCCATATCAGTATGAGCTTCGATGACGTATGCGAGACGTCGCCGAGGATGTGGAAGAGGTTGAACCCCGTCATTTTGGGATAAATAATGCTATGCGACGGCTACACAGCACTAGGCCAGCCGCCTGTCGCCTACGTGTTGGGGCTCAAAGCGCGCTTCCGGCACTCGGTGCCAATAAGAGGATCGGGGATAAATAGGTGCCGGCGCGAGGATGTGCAGCACCACTTCCGGTAGGATTTGGGGTCGACGATGGGAAAGGACGGGGAGGCGATGGGCGGGCTGTTTGGTGATGCGTAATGTCTTCCCCGGGTTTGACGCAAGCTACCACGCTACCTGTAACGTGCTTGGCAATTCCCAAGGGTCCACACTAGCGCCTCACATGCGGCCTAGTCGCTCGAGCTAGCCTGGAGAATCGGAACGCGAGGCTGCAAACTCCACATCTGGTTCTTAGACATGTGGTCTAGCTTCGAGGATTTGCAGGAGATTAAAGATTGTTGGCGAGCTTAGACGATGTTGAGAATTGCGTTTGCATGCATGCGTCTTTCTCGATAGGCGGTCGGACTGTGCACCGATCCGGCATAGGCTACCGACTGCTTGGTCGGAACGCTCATCGTGACCTTGTAGCTCAGAAGTTTTGATCTACTAAAACCCGTTCTCAGCAAGCGTAACTTTTAGATCGACCCGTATATCACTCGAGGGGCAGCATTTGCGAGGCCGGGTGCCAGTGGATCCGCACTAGATGACCCCGAGAGGCTCGTTTCGCTTTTGAACCACAGCGCGCGTGCTTGTGCAAGTCGAAGTATGTCACGAAAGGATTGCTGCATATCGCACAAAGAGTTGAAGTCAAAAGCGGGACCACATTACAAATGTATGGCACGATAATAGTCGGGCGGTGTGAGGCGCAGCGAGCGAGCCAAGCAGAAATTGTGGCTCAACTTACGCCCCGTGCTATTCCGAGATGCGAAGTCCACACAGCCTCGCAAACGAGCGTCTATATCGTCCATAGATCCCGTCGCAGTATTTCAGCAAGTCGGATAGTGAACTACAGCGCCGCATAGGTGCCACTCGCAGCCTCATATCGGTGTTTCTTGCGGCGAAGATCATGGACGCCTGGGTCAGGACTCCAAGGCATCCAACGTGGCGCGCGGGACGGATGGCAGCATCCTTAGGCCAGGTACGCAATCCTTCACTGTACCTAGGTATACTTCGAGAAGGTCATATGTGTTCCGCATCCGTAACGGTGAAGACGTTGCCGACTCTAGGCGGACATGCAGTGGTTGCGATGTGAGTGGCCAACTTCGTCACTTCGCAATATCTCAGGCAAAAGTGCGGATCCAGCCCCTCAGGCCGCGTGCAACAGTACGATGTACGGCGTAGTTATTGCAAATACCCGCGATAGAACAGATCCACCAAGTGCCGCAACGTGTATGTTTCCATTTTCACTTCGGAACGGTTGTCAACCGGGAAGGCTGAGTGAATCAAGGCAGATTCTGCGCCCTCAAAAAAAGCAAGACAGAAACTGCAAGTCGGAGGACAAACGTAAAACAATGGAGTCGCAGCTATATCAAGAGTCAAAAGGCAGTGTACCAAGATCTGGAGCCGCCGCGTGCTGCGGTCGCAAAGTTCAGTGCGTCACCATGGGCACCACCCACGCTCCACTTCACGGAAAGACCATGAGGGACGCTCTTCAACACAGGAAGTGTCGCAGGTATCCTGCCGATACGAAGCCCTCGACGAAACACGGCAGACAAAGTAACGAGTGAGGATCACCGTTGGAAGACAACAAGGAAGCGGGGTCTTCGGGCACTGGACCGCCGCACAAACGAAGTCTTTTAGCCGTTCAACAACGCACAGCCCAGATTGACTAGTAGCAGATATGTACCATGGCGGTGGGGGGTCACACCCACTGAGCATCGTGCGGAAGGTCGCTGTCGGCGGTATTCCACGGAGCAGACCCGTGGTGTGGGGCGAGAATCGACATGGCAGACGTACACGCTAGCAAGCGACGTGATGTGGATAGCAGTGGTGGCAGTGATCTTCGCTGATATCGTGAGCAAGTGCTGTGTGAGAGGTGCGACGAAGAGGAGGTGAGTTGGAAGGGTGGGAACAAGGACGAAAGGGGCGAATTAGCGGTCATTGCCCAGCCGAAGCGTATATTAGCGGCCAATAGAAATTACCGCAAGCGTGCATTTAAGCGCCGTCGCGTCCTTCGCTTTCAGCTTACGCACCCTATGCGGGGCAATTTACTGGCTTTGAGGCAGCTCGACGGCACAGCTGTCCAGGCGCACCGAATGGGAAGACACGGCTGGCCAAATTTCCTCGCTGCTGCGCGATGGAGTGCACCCCTTGTTGACGGCATCCTATGGCGCCGCCAGCACAGACAGGTTCGTCAATATCACGCTGCATCGAAAAGAGATTAACCCGCTGGGTCGCGATTGTGGGAGGAGTCTCAGACGTCAGGGCCGACGTCAGGGTGGCCGCCTTACTGAAGGTTACATTCGACTTCCACCCTCAAAAACCACAGGTATGCGCACTAGCCACGGTGCCGTGTAGCGGGCACACCCTGGCCGGCCAGGCGTGTAGCGGAATCCGATAGCAAGGCTGCCGCGACGCCCACACGGTCATGATCACCGTTGTTGCAGGACACCACCTAGAAAACCCAGCGCAGCGTTCCGGGCCAGCAAATGGGCCGGACACAACCGTCGAGCAACGCTGCATGGCTGGCCAATTCGCGGCTCAAGCGCAAGGCATGGCATGCTGGGGTCAGGCCCGCCAAACCACGTAGAGACAAGAGAAGAGCAGGGTGAAAGCTCGGGGCGCTAACGTGCAGGCCTGACCGTCAGTGCGCAGCAGCATCCTTCAAAGCCTACTGGGGGTGGCACGTTAGAGTCGACGCACTAGAAGTGACCTGCACTCGAGGCCGCTATACCGCTACCATCTTGATAAATATGACTGAGGCGTTCCCCTAGCCTAGTCGTCCAGCTCGAGCCTGAATATCATCACCGTGCGCCGCATCCTCTTCTTGCTACCGCCCGTCTCCAGTCTGCTACATTAGCGACCAGCAGTAAGGCGCAGCACATAAGCTTCTTCAAATCCTACCCGCAGCCGCAGTTGTCATGTCTATCATACTTGAAGGTGCTATCCTCCCTCCGCATCATCTCCAAGACAAGTCAGCCTCGTCCTGGCCAAGTCCCTACCACCCTCAGTACTACCCCGCGTTGGCCTCCTCGCCTGGCACTATGTCTCCACAGTCGTTCCATTCATACAATCCACGCTTGCCAGAAAGCCCTCTGCCTTCTCAAGAGCTCAACTGTCAGCCGACTACTGGGTGGTATGCCCCCTCAATTTCGGCCCCAGAGTGCCATAGCGAGGTTTGTACTTCACCCTTGTTGCGAGATCGGCTGCTCATATGCCGTCGTCTAGACCACATACGCCTCATATGGCTATATACCTCCACACACGGCGCAGGTCAACTTGTCACCACCTGCGTCTGCATCCTACTACTCAGCAACAGCTCCAGTGTCGACTACGCATTCAACAACAGCCATCTCTCCAGGTACCGTCTACTCTCGGGAATCCGTGGTACCAGAGTCAACACGGCCATCTGAAGAGCCCCAATCCGACGCAAGGACTGTCTTGCATCAGCCCACTTCTCGCTACAGGAGACAGTCTCACTTCATGGACCGGACTCACAGCGGTTCAGAGTCTTTGCATTCGGCCGCAGTGGACGGCTCCTGGACGATGAACGCACTAGGCATTCATGCGAACCACGAAGCCTACTATCCGGCATTCCCAACCCATAGTCCCCGCGTGAGTGAGCCATCAACAGAGCTATCGTCAAGCCACATGCCCTCGCCACAACCCCGACGCATGTACACACCGATCGCTCCTCTACCCCTGGAGACACCCCGTTCGCACGGAACCAAGCGACAGAGGGAAGACGACGAAGAAGAAGAGCCCAAGCGAAGAAAGCGGTCGGACTCACAGATATCGACCCAGTTTGAGCTCAGTGAGGAAGACCGTCTGCTTCTTCGGCTCAAAGAGGAAGAGCACATGCCTTGGAAGGACATCGCAGCACGCTTTGTCAAAGACTTCGGCAGGCAGTACCAAATACCCGCACTGCAGATGCGTATCAAGCGGCTAAAAGAACGGATGCGTCAGTGGACCGAAGTAGACGTCCAAGCACTGCGCAAAGCCCATGACTACTGGGTGCAAAACAAGTTCGACATCATCGCGCAAAAGGTATGTATCATCACCATCGATCTCAGTAACAGCCACTGACTCCCATAGATGCTCGATTACGGCGCAGAAGAAAAATGGACCGCACGCCAATGCTCTCGCAAATGGCAAGAGATCGATCCAACACCCATACCCTACACGCAGTTCGACCACCACGTCCAGCACGTCCAGCAAGGCTTTGCACCCTACGCGATGAGCCCCATCGAGCCCACGCCCATGAACTTCCCTCCCTTCCTGCACCAGCACCATACCACCTAGTCAACCTCGCCAGTGTCAGCCTCGCTTATTACGGCAGGAGGATGCGGGTAAACAACGCCGCATCGCTCTTCCTTTCTGATTCTTCCACTCCTAGGGATTGTCCCATCGGGGCAACATGTCTAAGTCTAAACGCTTCCCGCGATGCGGCACAGACACACCGGCGTTTAGCAAAGCGAGAAAAAAAAAACGGGCGGCTTGCATGGCTTGGGTCAGGGAGTTCTATGGGGCACAGCAACCAGCAACCAGCGCGCAACGCTTCTTAACGTTCGCCTTTTATGTCGTTTATCTTCTTCTTTCGCTCGATACCCTTGCTTAACTAACTACATTTGTTGAGTTATCTTATTTCAAATACATATAACGATCATCTTCATCTCCTTTCCTGCTCTTGAGTCGCAGCTAGATCTCACAGGCCATCTGCGCGGCCCCCTTCTTCTGCTTCCCCCATCTGCAACACGCGCACATCACATATCCCTGCTGCGCGTCTTTTCGGTTGTTGCAAGCTTCAAAGACTGCGCGTCTGCATCTACACGTGGAATGGAACAAAAACAGATCGCGTATCTCGCTCCCAAAACCGTTAAACCCTTCTTCATTTTCCCTTTCTGTCGCTCGCGCATGCGCTTTTCGCACCGCCCTAACTAACCTTATGCCGCCTTGTGGGGCCCTCGTTTTTGTTCTGGTCCCTCGCTCCTTCTTCAACGGGGCACCCATCTCCGTTACCACACACCCACCTGTGCCGAACTGCGCCGCAATACAGTACAGTCGTGCCGCAATCACGATTGTATCGATTTTTGGCGCACTGGTTTCAGATGTCTTAATAGAAAGCGCTGTGACAGGTTCGCTTATGTCTTGACAAGGCTCTATTTATTTTTTCGCGGCTGCTCATGTGGTTAGTGGACACGAGACAACCGTTTTTTGCGGCAGAGGTTTGGGGCTTGGGCTTTCACCCGCGCGGCTCGCGTGTCTTGAGGGCGGCACGGTGGTGGTGGTGCCGTACCTTCGCGCAGACGGTTTGGAGATGGGTGCGGCGCCGCAATCGGGCCTTTCGTGTCTTGGTGCCCTGCCCGCTATGGAGAAGCGATGGACACTGTTACATTGTGCGTTCCTTCGTGTGAATCCTGTCAAAGGGCACGGGGACATGACGTGCTTTCGCGATGAATGCCAATGCGCGCGTAGTCTGCCTTGATGATGCAGGTCACGCATTCGGGTCTGTTACGTATAGCACTGCGCATTCTGTTCTGTCGCCTGGGTAAGATGCATCATCGCTGTGGCTGCGCTATTTGCTTAGCTATGACGGTACGCATGGGTCGTGTGCTTCCACCTCCGACTTTTCCGAGTATGTCGGTGCTTGTGTAAGAAATGTTAGTAGTAAGAAGGCGTGATCGACGCCAGCATCCCTCGTATACCTCCATTCCAAGCTCGTGACTGGTCAGCATAGTCAGCCCTATGTGTAAGCTACGTGGTACAGTCCCTTCTCCACGCGAGCACGTAACAACTTACCTACATGCCACTGTTGTAGTATGCATGGGCTCATAGCGCGAGTATGCTAGGGGGTCTCAGCTACGCACACCGTACCTATCCTCGTCATCATCCCCTGCGTCTGCCACTATCTTACTGAGGTAGTTTCACATTCTTAGTGATGTCTGGTCGAGACCATTCTTCGGCAGATGCACCAAGCACTGACAGACTGATTTAGCCAGTGCGATTGGAAGGCACGGGTGCCATGCGGTCTCCTGGGGCGTAGACCAAGGAGATCAGCAAGATGAACGGTCCTTACATAACGCTGTGCCGACTTGCGTATGTGGGTAGATTCTGATATTGACATCGAGCACTGAGCTCATGCTGATGTTGCGGAGAACAGGAGCTCGGCCGTATCAACCCCCGGCTGATGGACTACCACAGGCGTATAGAGGATGATAGTATCACATCTCCACACCATGTGGGGATCTGAGCAGGAACACCGGCTCCTGCGTGCCGTGGCCTTTTATCTGTCAATCAAGGGCCCCGCAATCCTGAGTTCCCCTTAAGCTGTCAGTCGCTCTTCAAACGGCACGGGTGGCGCCGGTATGCACGACAAGAACTCTCGTCACACTGTCTATATCCTTCAGTGCTGCGACATCCTTTGCGCCGAGTGCTCTCCTATACGCACTGTAGATGTAACAGGTGGACGACGTCTACGTACTGAGTGTAAGCACTGCTGTCAGAAGCTCGAGCTCCATGCATGATGCCACCGAGACCTTCGCGGCAGTTTCAATCGACGCATCGACAATGGCTTCGAATACGGTCTGACGTGTACCACACATCTACCAGATCCAGCACGAGCACGGGTAGAAGTAGAATCAGGACGATGCTGATGGACCGCGCGGTGTAATATCATGCATCTGGTGGCTATGACTGGTCAGCGCGTTTCGAAATCTGGTGGATGGCGACAAACGATTTGCTTGGTGATCGCCCGTGGCTTGCTCGGAAGGAGGGAGCTTTCACGTCACAAGCCCTAGTCAGCTTACATCCGCTCGCCAAGGCAGTCGCGGACCGCGATGAAGACCGGTTCATTGCGCATGTACGCAGCTTACTTCTCGTCGACGTCGCCAGCGGCCCGAACGGCCCTACGCTCGAGTTGAAAAACGGCTGGTAGCGGCCTTTCGCGTAGAGCTTCCAATGGGAGTGGTGGTAAGAGTCAGGATTTAGTCTGATAGACTTCTTCTAGAAGTCTTAATAGGCTGCTTATCGTCTTAGACTAAGCCTCCGAGAACGCGCTGTGGCCAGTAGTAAGCTTCGTCGTCCGCGTGTGCTGTATACCCCCACGTTCCTGCGTCGTCGCGCATCACGCAGCGATCGGAACATACCGCCATTCTACCTGGCTATTCGTCGACCGCTGACAGCAGGACAGTGTTCCACGTTCTCCTTCCGAGCATGAGTGCCAATAGCGGCGAGACTCAGACGCAGGATGCGGACTAGTACACTCGGGGTAGGTGATATTGTTCGAATCTTCGGGATCTCCTCCGCATTGCCGAGCACGCGATAAGACAACGACCAGAGTCAGTGGAAAACGATCCCTGTAGCTGTGAATGACGCATTGAGCGACGGTTGAGGCTTGCGTCGAGGGGTTGAAACAGATCAGGAAACGGTTTGACTGGGTCGTGAGGTAGACGGAAGGGCAAGCAATGTGACAATGACAGAGGAGCTGCAGTTGACGACTCGACCGGGTTAGTGTTTCATGATCTACGCCCCACATTAGCAAAGGAGTGGAAGCGAAGTGTTTCCCGTCTCTGCGACCCAGACGATAGAGTCAGTCGATAATGGCAAATATTGTTGAACTGCACATGTTTTAGCCGCATCGCATGGGTTTCGAGAGGTGGCACAGAAGCGGCCAGATGCTAGACCCTATGAAGTCACCCTGCACGTGCGTGTCGTGTCAGCGTGCATCCCTTCACGGCTCACCGGTGGTACTACAGGCTGCCGAACCACTCGTTCACAAGCTCATGGTCGGACAAGCTTCAAGGCTACGGCAAAGATCGATCTCTATTCCGATAATGCGATCGGCATCCATCGAAAATCAGTCGTACAAAACTCTTCGGCTAATGTTGGAAAACTGTCGTGCTACACTCCGTGGAGTTGAGAAACGTAAACCGACTCCTGAGACGCTGCCGGGGTGCCGAACCAAGGGCCAGTCCATCGGTGTGTCGGAGGAACGAGTTAGGCCTGCAACCTGCTATCCTCTTGCAGAAAGCACATACTCTTTACGCGACCCAGAGGTCCAAAAAGGAGGGGGGTCGGGACGTTTCAGGTCCGTGGGCTCGCATGCGCAACGTGGTATTGTAATTATCCATAGTGTCAGGCGCCTATTCGCGTGCGTTCGCCCCACCAGCTTTCGCCAGTCTGCAGCGTCTTCTCCAGATCTTCTTCGGCCCTTCTAGCGCTGACAAAGGGCCCGTCATCTCGGATCCCGTGCAGCTGAGGCCCGCGAAGCCGCCTGGGGTTCGCATGAGAGCTGGGAGCTCGATGCCTGTCTTGCTTCGCATATATGTGTTGAGCGTAAGAGGCGTCAATAACGGCGGTGATCGCTGGGTAAATAGTTGCAGAGTGACAGGAAAGAGCGGCAATTTGCCTAATTATGTGCTGCTACATTGGGTCGATTTGCTGCGTCATATGTCCTTAAGTGGTGGCTGCGAATTGATATTAATATTGCCGTTTTGGGACAAATATTGCAGTAAGAGGCGCATGCGCCATTGAGGATATTTTGGTAGTGAAAAGACTCAGAGAGAAGCGGTGATGATGAAGTATCCCCAGAATCCGATGGAGCGATGATGAAGGAGTTTTGCTTCGCTACTCGGTGCAGCTACCTAGCTATGTAGGTGATCTTGCTAATGACGCGTCTTTAGTCTTCGGCCTTGGCGCTTTATGTCCGCTATTTCCAGATTCGCCGGAGTATATTCCTACAGGTGTCATCCCGTCCTTGAGGCAACAGCCGCTCAAGATATATAACTATTTCCATTCATTCCGTTGCAAAGGTACTATGCGTACTGCTGCCCTCACAAGATTGTCAAATCTACGTTCTCAATTGCCCCTTCCCAGATCACCTCGGTCCTTCCATACGTCATCAGCAATCATGGCAGGGCTCACCATCAACTCGGAACAGACCATGCCATCAGGCTACAAGATCCCCGTCCTTGGATATGGCGTTTACCAAACACCAGCAGACATCGCTTCCGAGGTGGTTGAGCACGCGCTCAAAGTCGGCTATCGCCACGTTGATTCTGCCGTCGCCTACCGGAACGAGCAACCATCTGCGGAAGGCATGAAGAAGTCGGGCATTCCAAGAGAAGAGCTATTCTTCACGACAAAGATCCCTCCGAAAGACATGAGCTATGGGAACTCGAAACAGCACATTGAAAACACCCTCAAGATCACCGGATTCGATTACGTCGATCTCTACCTCCTGCACAGTCCCTACGGCGGTAAGGAGAACCGCATCGGTGCGTGGAAAGCGCTAGTTGAGGGTG